ACAGTGAAGAAAAATTGAAAAAGACACAAGAAGAGGTAAAAACTTCCCATGTTCATGGACAGGCAGAGTTGACATTGTTAAAATGGCCTTACCACCAAAACCAATATATAGATTCAATGCAATCCCAATCAAAATACTAATGACATTCTTCACAAAGCTAGACAAGACCATTCTAAAATTCATTTGGAAGAATAAAAGACCCAGAATACCAAAGCAATTCTAAGCCAAATAAACAATTCTGAAGGCATTACAATATTTGACTTCGAATTATACTACTGAGCTGTGGTAACAACTGCATGGTGGGGGCATAAATACAGACACATAGACCAATGGTACAAAAACAGAAGTCACAGAGAAAACCCACACAGATAGGGTCATGTGATCCTTGACAAAACTGCCAGAAACATACATTAGAGTTTTAAACATAGAGTTTTAAACAAATAGTGCTGAGAAAACTGGTTATCTACACATAGAAGAATGAGACTAGACCCTTCTCTCTCACCTTGCACAAAAGTCGACTCAAAATGGATCAAAGACATAGAAATTGAATCAGAAACTAAGCAAGTCCTTGAAGAAAATATAGGGTCAACACTCCAACATATAGGCACCCAATGAGTTTCTCGATAGGACCGCTAAAACTCAGGAACTAAAGCCAAGAGTTCATAAATGGGATGGCATCGAATTTAAAAACCTTCTGAACAGCAAAGGAAATCATTAAGAATGTGAAGAGAGAACCTACAGAATGGGAGAAAAGAATAGATAAAGAACTCAAAACATCAAAAGAATGACCCAATTAATCAGCAAGTGAACTAAAAAATATATATTTCTCAAAAGGAGAAATACAAATGGCCAAAAACATAGGAGAAAATGTTTCACATCATTAGCAATTTGGGAAATGCAAATCAAAACTACACTGAGATTTCTTTCATCTTACTCCAGCCAGAATGACAGTCATCAAGAAGACAGATTATGAGGGGCTGGGGCTGGGGCTCAGTGGTAGGGCACTCGCCTGGCCCATGTAAGGCACTGGGTTTGATCTTCAGCACCACATAAAAAAAATAATAAATAAAATAAAGGCATTGTATTCATCTACAATTAAAATATTTTTTTTAAAAAAACTTTTAAAAAAGAATAAAATAATACTAAATTCTGGAGAGGACATGGAGCAAAAGAAACACTTTTACACTGTTGGGGGGTGCTGTAAATTAGCACAACACTACAGAAATCAGGATGAATGCTCCTCAAAAGACTAGGAATGGAACCACTATATGACCCAGCTATACCACTTCTTGATATTTATCCTAAAGAAATAGTCAGCATACTCCAGCAACACACATGCCCTGTTTATAACAGCATAATTCACAATAGCCAAATTATGGAACCAGGCTAGATGCCCGTCAACCGATGAATGGATAAAGGAAATGTGGTATATATACACATGGAGTTTTATTCAGCCATAAAGAAGAATGAAATTATGCCATTTGCAGGGAAATGGATGAAACTTGAGAACATTATGTTAAACAATATAAGCCAAAGTGTGAAAGTCAAGGGTGATATGTTTTCTCTTGAAAAGGAAAAAAAAAAAAGGTAGGGGCAGACCTCATGAAGATCAAAGCATCCAGAGGAGGGGGGAAGAGAGGAAAGGGGAAGCACTGGGGAATGATACTGGCCAAATTACATTGTTATATATTTGTGAATTTACAAACCTGTAACAAAGAATCACACCACTATGCACAATTACAATGCACCAGTAAAAATATGGGGGGGGGAAGAGAACACCAAGAAATATGCACCAATCTCCACCTTCTGGGAGAGTGTTAGGGAGCTGACCCCGACAGGGAGACCTGTATGTGCCTGAGGCATGTGCATCTGTCTTTGTGTGTGAGCTGGCCAGCGTGCTCTGGTACCCGGCGTCTCGATTTGCAGGCACCAGTGTGAACACGCGTGCAGGGTAGGCTGAGTTTGTGCACATATGTTTTATGCACAAGCCTTTGTGTTCATCCAAAGCAACTGTCAAGTGACATGGAAAATTCACAGACTGCACACCCTGTCCATAAAGGGGTCAGTGGCCACACCCCCATAAAAGGTGCACTTGCCCCCCTCACTAGCCCTTGCCAAAAACACACTCACACCCACATTGGGGGCCCAGGAAACCACGACTAAAGCATATTCAGGCCTGCTGATTCTGATTAGAAGTGCTTAGAACCCCTCCTGTGTTTTTTTGCCACACTGTTCACAACAGCCAAGCAATGAAAACAGCCTAACTGTCCATCAACTGATAAGTGGATAGAGAAAAGGTGATACATATACACTATTCAGCCATTAAAAAAAAAAGAATGAAATCCTATCATTCACAATGACATGGATGGAACTGGAGATCATTATATTAAGTCAAGTAAGCCAAGCACAGAAAGATGAGCACCACGTGGTCTCACTCATAGGTGGAATCAAAAAGAGTTGGTCTCAAAGGGGTTTGAAAGTAGAAGCTTGGGTTAACAGAGGCCGGGAACAGTACGGGGAGAGGCAGGAGGGCTGAGGAAAGGCTGATTGATGGTACTACATTATAGTTAGAAGCAAGTTCTGATTACACACTAGGGTAACTGTAGACCACAATTCTGCACTGTGTATTTCAGAAAGTAGAAGAGGGCTGGGGTTGTGGCTCAGAGGTAGAGCACTCACCTAACATGTGTGAGGCACTGGGTCCAATCCTCAGCACCACATTAAAAATAAAATAAAGATATTTTTTAAAAAGTAGAAAAAAGGATTTTGAATCTTTTCACCATAAAGAAATGTTTGAAGAGAACAATAGACTTACTTTGCTTTTAACATTACAATGTGTACATGTATTAAAACATCACATGGTGCTTAATAAATATGTACAATTTTTATGTTTTTATATATTAGTTTAAAAATAAATTTGAGTTTTCATGAAAATGCGTGATTAAAAATCCCAAGAGGCTGGGCACTGAGGCACAAGCCTGTGATCCCAGTGGCTGGGGAGGCTGAGACAGGAGGATCTTGAGTTCAAAGCCAGCCTCAGCAACTCATCAAGGCCCTAAGCAACTCAGTGAGACCCTGTCTCTAAATAAATGCAAAAGAGGGCTGGGGACGTAGCCCAGTGGTTAAGCACCCCTGAGTTCAATCCCCAGTACCAAAAAATAAATACATAAAAGGAAATCCCAAGGGGCTGGCAGCAGGGTGGGGGCTGCACCTACTTCCTAAGGCCTTGGGAGTCTAAGATCCATGCAGCCAAGGACTGGCCCTCAGTTCACCCTGACCCTGCCTAAGACTACCCCCTTTAAAGGGCTGCGGAGGGGAGGCCCCCCCTGCCTGGCCCACTGGAGGGGAGCCTGAGCTTCTTCCCCTGGCCCAAACATGGCACGGGCTTCTGGCCCACGTCTCCCAGGCCTTTCGGTTCCCATGCACAGACAGGGGCCGTGTGGCGCCGTGATTTTCCACTGAGGAGTGCCGGTGCGATTGTCATCTCCACGGAGCCCAGCTGGCTCTGCCTGCTGGCCTGATGGGTGATAAGTGGGCCCCACCTGCTGCCCCCGCCCCAGGAGCAGGTGGGGGCAGGCCACCGGGGGGTGTGCCAGGATCCTATCTGGAGCACCCAGCCCAGATCACAGGGGAGTGGGTGTGGAACTCCCCAGTCATCCCAAAGCCTTCCCAGAGCCGCCTGACCGGGAATCGAACCCTGACCCCAGGCACCTGGCCTGTCTGTTCCCCTGGGAGGGCCTGAGGGCCCCACCCTCCTCCAACCAGGTCATCCTGTCCATCCCTCCGCTCCAAGCTTGGCCGATGCTCAACTCGGCACATGTTTATTGAGCACCTACTCAATCTCTGGGAGTCCCCAAAAGCCTGGGCCGGCCACACCAGGTCTGAGTCACATGTCAACCTCCTGCAAAACAAGTAAGGGATGATTTAACTAGTGAGCAGGAAAACAGCCACTGAAACCCGGCCAAGGGTGTGCAGGCTCAAGAGGCAGAAGAGGCCTGGGTCTGGGAGAGGAGGACAGGGGACAAAGGAGCCCAGGCCTTTCCTGTGAGCAGGAAGAGAGAACTCTCAGGTCCTATCATAGCAACGGCTGAGATGTTGGGCTCATACTGCCTTTGCCTCCTTGGAACTTGTAATCTGTTAGGAAGACGATATAAATTAAAGAAAAGAAAATTGTAACTGCATGAGGGGATTTAAACCAAAGGTTCATAGTTCATAGTGGAACACACACAGCACACGCCCCTTCTGTTCCATACAGGGAAGACAGCCTGCCTTCCCATACCCCACAAGCCTGTGGGCTGGGTTCCCAACATCACCCCTGGATCTTCCAGGACTCCTGAAATCAGCAGGAGCCTTCAGCCAGAATCCTCCCTGCACACACTGGCTCTCTAAGTGGCAGGATATTCACAGGGACTTCCACCATCACCATGCCTTTGTGGCATGGAAGGGCTTGCAGCCATCCCCAGTGAGAGAGACAAACTGCACAGAGCAGCAGGTGTGGAAGGGAGGACCTCGGAGAGCAAACAGCAAGGTGTGAGTGAGAACTGAGCACGCGTAAGGAAGGGATCTGAGCAGGGAGCGCCCTGTCCGAGGGAACTACGGGCCAAGGCCAGGAGCACACAGGAACAGGGCACAGCCAGAGCATGTGGTGGAACCTGGTGGCAGAGGAGCGGGCATGGGGCAGCCAGGGTTTGTCCTTGAGGATCATGGTCTGTCTCTTGTTCTTACTGTGAAGGTAGAGAACCAGAAAGGACTTTTTAAAATTTGTTCTTTTTTAGTTACCCATGACTGTAGAATGTATTTTGACATATTATACATACATGGAGTATAACTTCCCATTTCTGTGGTTTTACGTGATGTGGATTTATACTAGTTGTGTACTCATATATGAACAGGAAAGTTATGTCCGATTCATCCTACTGTCCTTCCTATCTCCATCCCCCCTCCCTTCCCTTCAGTCCTCTTTACCTAATCCAATGAACTTCTACTTTTCCCTTCCCCACCCTTATTGCATGTTAGCATCCGCATATCAGAGAGAACATTCTGCCTTTGGTTTTGAGGACTGGCTTATTTCGATTAGCATGATAGTCTCCAGCTCCATCCATTTACCAGCAAATGCCCATAATTTCATTCTTCTTTAAGGCTGAGTAAGATTCCATTGTGTATACGTATATGTACTACATTTTCTTTATCCATTCATCCGTTGAAGGGCACCTAGGTTGGTTCCATAGCTTAGCTATTGTGAATTGAGCTGCTATAAACATGGATGTGGCTGTGTCACTGTAGTATGCTGATTTTAAGTCCTTTGGGTATATATACTGAGAAGTGGGATGAGTGGGTCAAATGGTTGTTCCATTCCAGGTTTTCTGAGGAATCTGTAAGGATGGATCTTCAGAAGGGGATGGCATGATGAATTTTTACATCTTAATGTCCCTCTGGTCATCCTACGGGGAACCAATGAGACATCAACAGAGAGAAGCAGGAAGAGGCCCTGACTCAGAAGGATTGGAAATGGGTAATGGACAGAGCAGGAGTAATAAGCAGCAGCTAACAGGGGAGAGCACGGAAGGCAGGACACAGGAGGACATAGCCTCACTGGGCTTATTGATACAATATTGTAAATTACCTTATTCTGGTTCTTGGCCACACACTGCCTGTGTGCCTCAAGTTCCTGCTCTTTCCTTTTCTAAGCAAAGCACTGAGGAGGGCTATCAGGGACACACGCCCCATCGGGAGCTCAGCCTCAGATCTTTCCACTTCAGACATCTGCCCCAACAGCTGGGATTTGGTAGAGTGCCCGAGACCCCTTATCTGCTTCCCCTCAACCACTTGGATGTTCATGGCCAGAATGTAGAGGGTTGGGGAATTTAATAGGGAAGAAAATGTACCATTATTTGCACCAACCCCTAACTATTACCTTTCAGTTATGCATGGAGGCAAAACCCCACAAACGTATAGAAAATACTTGTGACTTTGTCACCAATCAAAATTGAATATTTACATGTCATTGGGAAAGCATCTTGAAATAACAAAAAAGCTTATTCCTTCACTGGAATTAAAACAATTATTAAACCTGCTGCTAGGTCTCATTATTTAGTGCGGACTCAGAAGCACATATATTATTACATCACACACTTGGAATGGCCTCATCCCCACCCCCTGATTTTCCTCTTTCCCTGGTAGCTCCCACCAGCCATAGGGAAGAATGGTACAGCTGGTCAACCTGTGGAAGCAAATCACTTGGTGGTCCCAATAAACCATGGACACTGGTTTTGTTCAACTCATATTGAGTAGAAGTGGAGAGAAATAGATTTTCATCTAATACAAATTTCATATTTTTATGTTCAGAATATGGAATCAACTATTTGCAGCAAATTTACTGGAATTATAGTTTACTTAAAATTGTTTAAATAAAGGCGATCTATTGATAAATTATTGTTTGACAATTCCCCCCCCCCTTTTTTTTGAACTAGATACTATTAGCCACATCCTCTAAGTTATGTGTATTTAACCTTATATTTTGTAAACGATCTTATTCTGGTTCGCGGTCACACACTGCCCGCGTGCCTCAAGTTCTTGCTCTTTGCTTTTCCCAACAAGACTTGTTTGGGAGAGTCGTGTCAAAGACTTTAAGCTTTATAGAATAAGGCAAATCACTCCGTCTCAATAAACACTGCTGATTGTTCAGCATTGTTTGGTGGCAGGATTTCAGGTGTTTGTGGCTTTGACGCTGGGTCTCAAGTGAGAGGTGTGGCACGTAATTGTGTCATTCAACGTGTTCATGCTCATTGCACAGATACACAGTCAAGATAGGCACCAGGTTTTTCAAATTTTACTTGAGGGCCCAATTTCAGAGGGAGTGGAGCCTATTTGCCTTTGTTGATTATAGACGGGGTCACAGTTAGAAACCTGAGTTAAGCAGCATATGTTTGTAACTCAAATCTTTTGTACCCTCTAAAGACTGGCTAGCTGGCAGGGGGTCTGGCTTTCCCTAAATTACACTCTTCCTGCCAAGGGAAACTGGGTTCAAAGACCCACTTTCATGATCCCCCTAAATCAGCCCCTATTACCCCGTAAATAAAGAAGCCCAAGACACAGCAGGAATCTTACTGAAAGGGCAAGTTTGACCCAGCTGTCAGGGCACTGGTCAAAGGTGGGGATGGATTATTGTGACTCCTCCTGCAGATCAGGCATGAAGTGACACAAGGAGCCTTTGTTCCCCCACCTTGCCCTGAGGTCCTCAGCTCACCCTCCTCTTCTCTGCTTCCCTCACCCAGGAAAGAAAGCATTTGATCCTGGCATTCATAGGGATGGGTGCAGCCATGCTCCTCCCAGGAATATTTGCCTTGAATAAGGGATGTGCCCAAGTCCAAGAGGGTGAATAACCTCTGTTACAATTTCAGACCCCATGGCCCCACGGAGATCAGACGTCTACCTTCACCTTTAGGGACAGGTGGTCCTCCTGTCCTGTGATGTTGTCTGTCCTTCTGAGCTGCGATTCTCTTCTCGGGCAACTCTCTGGACTTCCTGACATCCCGAGGTCTCTAGCAGTACTCTGGATATCTTGTGAGCAACCCAATACCCACTCCCAGGGGAGACAGGGCATGATCCAGGAAGTCTGGGGCTTTCCTTCTGAAGTACAGGCTGTGCTGGGGAAGGAGGGCCAGCCAGGGCTGAGAAACCAGAGGAGTTAGTGCTGCAAGGCTTCTTGGGGGAAGAGGTAGCACCCCTGGGCCCCTCACCAGGACTATCCAGAACATTCCAAAGGTATTCAGAAACTTCTGCAATCCAACCTCCTCCCCACCCTATGTTCCTGGCCCCTGAATGCAAGTTCGTTCCATTCCCCTGGCTGCCTCCCTACCTGGGACATCCTTTACCTAACTGCCTTCTCTGATATCCTGATTGCTTCCAGGGAGCTGTGGCTGAGTCCACAGCCTACCCAAGACCTCTACCCTGCTGCTCTTGCGCATCCCAGGTCTCCTTCCTCCACCAACCTCAGGACAAAGGGAATCAACAAATTTCTACAAGGTCAGAGAATCACAGCCAAGAGTTGAAAGGTGGCTGCCAGGCCTAGGGACAGTAGTGACCATAAATGGAAGAGCTCCTGGCTTCAGGCAAGACTGAGGCCGCACCTGGCTCCCCTATTTCCCAGATGGGCCCTCTTGAACCAGGCTTTCGCCCCTCTCTGAGCCTCAGTGTGTGAACTCCAACATCCAGAACACCTGAATGGAGACTGTCATCGGGAATGGTGGGTGGGATGGACGGAGAGACAAGTGAGTGAATTCCAGGCCAGGGCAGGGATTTGGGGCAGGTGTGGGTGGCTGTCTGCCTCACATGCACAGGACCGGCCCTGGGCAGGAGTTCCTATTCCTCCCCACCAGAATCCAAGGATTTGCCAAACAAGCAGCTCTAGCCTGGAAAGAAAGTGACTCAGGCCTCCAGGAGGGCTGGAGTGAATCAGGGAGGCAGCCTGAGTGAGGCCCCCACCCAGGGGCCCGGGCCCCTCCCAGCAGGAAGAGCACGAGCCGTCCCCAGCCCTCACTGGGTGAGAGAGCAATTCTGCCGAAAGGCGCCCCTGGCCAGCCAATGGGGCGCACAAGTCATCACCCTCACCCTCACTCCCACATTCCAGACCTGTCAGGGCGCCTTCCCGGTGCTATCTTGTCATGCAAAATCTCTGAAGAGTCAGGAGGCCTGGGTTCTCGCTCTGTGGCTTGCTCAGGGTGAGGGTCAGGCAATCACATGGGTCTCAGCTACCTTCTCTGTTGAAGGGGGTGAGGCATTCGGCCAGCCTCGTCCTGTCCTGACTCTATATAGGAGGAGGCAGTGGACCCAATTCATTCTACTGTCTTCCTATCTCCATCCCCACTCCCTTCCCTTCAGTCCCCTTTATCTAATGCAATGAACTTCTATTCTTCCCTTCCCCACCCTTATTGCATGTAGCATCTGCATATCAGAGAGAACATTCTGCCTTTGGTTTTGGGGATTGGCTTATTTCACTTAGCATGATAGTCTCCAGTTCCATCCATTTACCAGCAAATGACATAATTTCATTCTTCTTTATAGTTGAGTAAGATTCCATTGTGTGTGTGTGTGTATGTATGTGTGTGTGTGTGTGTGTGTGTGTGTATATATATATATATATATATATATATATCACATTTTCTGTTTCCATTCATCTGTTGAAGGACGCCTAGGTTGGTTCCATAGCTTAGCTATTGTGAATTGAGCTGCTATAAACACAGAGCATCTGGGAAACAGCACAGGGTTGGAGTCCCTGCCATCTACCAACTGTGTAGTCCTAATTCCCACAGCTCCCTAGGGCCACCTGCTCTGCCAGTCAGTGGGACCTCAGAGTCCAGTCTCCCACCTGGGCCTCTCCCTACACTTCAGACCCACCCTCCAGCGGCCAGCCCAACAGGCAAGCTCAAGGTACCCAGCACTGAACAAAAACCCATAAAGTGCCTTCTCAACCAGGTGCAGTGGCGAACACCTGTAATCCCAGCAGTTTGGGAGGCTGAGGCAGGAGGATCCCAAGTTCAAAGCCAGCCTCAGCAACAGCGAGGTGCAAAGCAACTCAGTGAAAAACTGTTTCTAAATAAAATACAAAATAGGTCTGGGGATGTGGCTCAGTGGTTGAGTGCCCCTGAGTTCAATCCCCGGTCCCCACTCCCCCTAAAAGCACCTTCTCCATAACTGCTCGCAGCAGAAGGAAGCTCCAGTCTCCTCTTGTCCAGGCCCCAAACTTTGATTCCTCTCTTTCTTCTGCACCCTACATCCAGTCCAGCAGCAAATCCTCTGGTGCTACCTTCAAAATAGAATCAAGAATAGACTGTTGTGTGGACTGACATCCCACGTCTCTCATGATACCTCTCCCCCTCCCAGCCCCTGGACCATCTTGGAACCCCTCACAGGTCTCTCAACCACACGCCTCCCTCCTAGGAGCATGCCCCGTGAACACAAAGTCAGAGCAAGTCCTCGGTGCGGTGCTCAGAACCACATCCGCACAACGCAGCAACCTCCTATCCCTGCCGCAGAACCAACTCATTTGGGGAAACTACCCCAAAGGCCTCCCAAGGGCTGCAGAGCCCCATGTGCTCTGTCCTCCTTTATACCTCTCAGTAATTATGTCCTCCTCCCCTCCTCCTCCTCACGACATCTTTCTGTTGTTAGACATGCAGGGCTCGCTCCTTTCCCAGAGCCTATGCATGTCTTCCTCCTGGGCAGCGCCTCCCACTCCTCCAATCTAGGCTGAAATTGTTAACACCTACCTCCAGAATCCCCCCATCGACTTCATTCTCCTTTATTTTTACCCTGTACCACTTGTTACTTCCTAACACACTCCATACTGATTTATTTATTGTCTTTCTCCTCCCTCTAGAATATTAGCTCTGGTAGGCAGGGCTTTTTGTCTGTTGTGTTGACTCCATGTGGATCTTTAACACCTGGCACATAGTACACACTCAATAAACACTTGTGGAATGAAGAATGAATGAATGAATGAAGTCTGTAGATCATAGTGATTAAGAAAATGTTGATAATCTGCCATTGCCCAACTGTGTGACATAACCTCTTTTGGCCTCAGTCTCCTTATTTACAAAATTAAGCTAATAATGAATGGTAACTGGCTCATGGGATTGTTGTGTTGATTGACATGTACTCAGCAATGTTGACTGACCCATGGTGCCATCTGCACAGTACTACTGGTAGGCAGGTGGCTCAGAGCCCACTGAGCTCATGTACAGATTGGGAGACACTTCTGAGAGGCCCCTAGGGCTCTTCTTGCTCAGAGCCTTGGAGGGTACTGCAAGCTGAGGAGCAGGATCCTGATTCTGGGAGTTGCAGCCAGCTCTGCTGCTGGAAGTGTGTCATGAAGGGAGGGCCAATGAGGGAGGCCGGGGGCCTTAGGAGGGAAGTGGGTCACTCTGGGGCTGAGGAGCAGTCATTTTATTATACATAGATCCCTCTTGTAGGGGCCACTTTTCTAGGCCTGGAATCCGAGCAGTAAGCTCAGTGTACAAAATAGTCCTGATCAGAAAAATCATTAAAATCTATTCTTTGACTCAGCAGAGCCTCAAAGGTGCCCCACGAGAGTAAGATCAGGCCCTTAGGATCACACCCATGTAATACCCAGATGAACAGAGGCCCCCAGGGGAAAGGGGTCTGCCCAGGGGTTACTCCTAGAGAGACATAGACCTGGGACCATATCAGGGCTTATGATCCCAAACCCAGGCTAGTTTCCTCCACAATTCGAGTCTGGGTGATATACTGAGCTAGCACATAGCCACTTGTGTTCATTAAGGAGCTAGCACCTAAAAAAGAGAAAAATTTCCCTTTCTTCCCAACCAGAGGCTGCAACTGCTACTTGTTCCTTGGCCTTCAGCCTGGAAGATTCACTTCCGACACCCTAGAGCTTGAGATTTCCTCTAAACAAGAAGGAAAGCTACTGGCTGCTTCCACGGGTCCCCCTTACTGGTCTGTGAGCGCCTCTTGACCCAGGATTTAACAGGATTTCTATCAGCCCACATCCAAGGAAGACAGAAGGCAGCTTACAATAAAATGCACGTATCTAAACCTGCTACTAATAAAAATATTTAATAATACGTAAAAACTCAAGGGGAAAAAGGCCCAAATATGTCCAACAGGGGCTAAAGCAGTTGGTCTTGGTGATGAAGGGTTAAATTGATAAATGAGCTCCCAGCAGTGGGGGCCCAAAGGGAGTCTCCAGGATGCGGCCAAATGTCTTTTCAACTCCCCAGCAGCTGGCTTGAGGCTGGTGGAACAAGCGGGTTCCCCAGTTCCCTGGGCGGCCCAAATTCACACCTGGCTTTAGCCACGGACCCCACAGGGAACCACACCCTTGTGCTCAAGGTCTGTCCCTAGAGATTGGCCCTGGGCCAGGCCTGGGTGGTCTGCACTTGCTCTTCTCCTTCTGCTGAGCAGTGGTCTGTGGTCAGGACCCCCCAGGCTGCCTCAGAAGTGTGCTGGGGCTCATGGAATCCTGGCTGACTTTGGCATCTGTCCTGCTGCCGTCATGAGTCAGGGCTCAATAAGGAGAAAGCCCCGAGTGGCCAATTGCAGTGATTCAAAAGTGACTTAATTGATTTAATTCATTGAAAAGAGAGGAAGAGAAACCAAGCCCTTCTGAGGGCAGATTAAGTGCCTGCTTGGGTCATAAGTGCTACGGAGATGTCCCCAGCATGGTGGCTGTGGTTCAGGGGACTCAGCCCACACACCCACAGCCCAGGTCCATGGTGGGAGGGACGGGCAGTCCCTGGATCCTCCCTGTCTCAGGAGAACCAGCAGCCAGGGCTCACAGCAAAGCCATCGTGGTAAAGGATCAGACCTGGCTTTGGTGATAGTCTCAGAGAGCCAGGCCCTGGCGGATGGCAGCCCATGAGCTTCTCCATCAGGGTTGGTTGGGTCAGGAAGGCTGGGCGGATGTGGGGAGGAAAGGCCAGGGAGGGGAGGCTTTCTTACAGTCCAGAGGAGCCTTGGGAAAGGTCGGGCCAAGTCTTGCAGGCCCAGTGTCCCAGAAGCCACAAGGAGCAAAGATGGGAAGGGGAAGTCACTTGAGCTCTTTTCACTGAGAAAACCCAGGCTCAGCCTCACTAAGCTGCCCAGCCCTGTGGATCCCTGATGTGAAGGGGACAGACTCTCAAGGACCACTGACATCTGTCAAGCACTTGTGAGCCCCAGACACTGGGCTCAATGCTTCCCAGAGCTAATCCCATTTAATCCTCACAACTCTAAGAGGTAAGTAATGTCACCAACCCCATTTTGAAGGTGAAGAAACTGAGCTCAGAGAAGTTAAGAGACTGGCCCAAGGGCACACAGTGGAGTTAACAGTGGAGCCAAGAATTGAATTCAAGTTTGCTCAACTCCAGCACTTGGGCTGCTATTGTACACTTCTGGGAGACTCCCCTCTGATGATTGAGACACAACTCTTGCTCTTGGGGATACCCCGTCAAGGAAGAGACATGGTCTGTCCTTAAGAAACTTGGTCTAACGAGGAGCTCAGTCACTATTTTTAGGAGTCCCTAGGCTAATACTAAGGGCTGGAGGGTGGTCCCTAAGATCTGAAAGCTATAACCAGAAGGGGTGGGAGGAAGGATGCTCCTCTGTGGGCATCATCTTGAAGCGGACCCAAGGGATAAAGCTAGAAGAATCCTCCAGAATCTTCTCCTCTAAGGTTAAGCTCCACCAGCTCTACATGGACCACTTCTAGCAAAGGAGACAGGTAGGTACTCCCCACCTTCAGGGCGCTGGACCTGAAGGTAGGTGGAGGACTCCACCCTGGACCTGGGATATCAGAAGGGAGGGACGGACTATGATGCAGAGAGGGACCACAGCCTGGAAACCCTCTGGACACCTTCCAAGTCTGTGAGATGGGTCCATCTGCAACCAGGGCAGCACCCAACCAGAAGCCAGTCAGTCCACAACCAGAGTCAGAGGTCAGTCAACAATCAGGGTTTACACATCAGTCAGAGGTCAACTTGAGGTCTGCACTAAAAAATCAGGGTTAATGGTGCATCTCAGGCTAGGGTTGGGATCCACCTTTAAGAATATGGAAGGGAGAGGCTGGGAGATCCCAAGAACTGAGTCTGAATCAAGAGGCCACAGTGAGTCACAGGAATGACCGTCAGGATGACCCTCAGAGTCCAGCTGCCTGTGGGTCACCTGATAGGGATCAGGTACAAGGTGGGGCTGTGAAGTCCCCATGGTTGCCGGGAGCCTGCACCCAGCCCTGTAGTCTCCTCGCCCCTCATTCTTCCCAGTTGAGGTCATTCCATGGGCCCAGCAACCCCAGGCCTGGGAGGGGAAGCAGAGGATCCAAGGCGGCTCCCCCAGAGTGCTCATGAGTCACCATCCCTAAGACTAAAGCTCCTGGGCCCAGCAGCTCAGGGTCCCCCACCGGGCTGCGGCCAGCTCCAGACCTCATATGCCAACAACGAAGAGTCAGTTAGTGGCCGAATCACCAAGCCTTAAGTATGTGCCAGGGCGTGATTTATATGCACTGTTTCTTTTAACCCGATGGTGTTATCCCCATTTTACAGATGAGAAAACTGAGGATCAGAGTGGTTTAATACAGCACTTAAACGCAAGCACAGTTTTAGACTCAGGTGGTCAGCCTCATTACCACCACCATATGATTTAAGAGCAAGAAGGAAACTAACCCCCACTCTCACCCCACTCAAGCATACGGTGGCAATGCCAGAGGCCTCCCAACTCCCCACGACCCCTCCTCCTAAGCTCAAAACCAGGACAAAACCTCTATGGATGGAATTCCAAGCAGCAGCAAGGAGGCCATTGGAGAAGAGTGACTTACATGAACATCACCACTTTTCTTAATCTCTGAAATGCCACCAGCTCCTTTGCACCAGGGCCTTGCAGGGGGGCCACCCAGGAGGCACTGGGCCGGCCTCTGGGGGTGGGGAGGGATGCTTTGGAAACTTCATGCATTTCTCCTTGATATTAATGAACCTGGGGCTACAGTACAGGATCGTGGGGACACGGGTTCCCGCAGGCAGTAAAGACAGTTCAAGGAAGCCAGGCACTTTCACTGTTCTGTTTATAAGAACTGAGAGCAGGTGACCAGAGTAGAGATTAGTGACTCTTTCAAGATAAGCAAACTGAGGCACCCTTGGGATAAATGTCACTCACAAATGCACTGGCAGATTCCTAGGGGACAGTCAACCCTAGACCCTTCTCTATTGCTGGAAATCCCCAATTTTGTCCTGAGGCTCATCATCCCAGGTGCTCGGGGAAGATACCCACCCCAGCCCCCAGCACTAATACTATTAGCAAGTGCAGGGGCTTCCGTGATGGATTCTGAGCCATCCTCTTTACTATCCTCTAATGAGATCCATGGACCATATAATTTCAAAAGAAAGAAAGAAAGAAAAACAACGCAACAGTTTAACTAGCATAAAGGAGGACCGTGCAGGAAAAGTCATTTCTAATAAAGCACCTGTGTTGCGGTGCATACATGGTCCTGCAGGAACACACCTGAGGTGGCAGCAAAAGATACAGCCCTACCCGGGGGTGGCTCATACACCACT